TTTGACATGGCCCTCCGCCAACAGGCCACGCCTACTAGAGAACTCTCACGAAAGTAGTTGAAGGGGCATTCCGCGATACACGGGGAATGTGCTGAACAGGTGAGAGATAAGTGAATCCTATTGCAAGGGAATTGTGCCATCGCTAAGGCAAGGTAACCTATAGAAGGGGCAACATTAAGTCACAAAGGCGTCAGATTCGCATTCTCGGTCTGTGCCTACGTTCCTCTTGTCCCTTCTTAGGCCGATGTCATAGTTTGCGAATCGCTGGATCCGAGCGTTGCGCCAGCGAATCGAACGTTGCACCAGCGAGTCGAACGATGTACCAGCGAGTCGAACTAGGTACCAGCGACTCAATAGTGGCGGGACCCAACGTTCAAAGGAAGCCCGCCACTTTCAAACAGTGTCCACTGTCAAGTCCCGCCACTTTCAAACAGCGTCCACTGTCAAGTGACACGCGAAGTTCGATTCGCTGGCGCAACGCTCGGATCGAGCGCTCGATTCGCAAACTATGACATCGGCCTTCTCGCGTTTGCGTATTTAGCTCAGGCATGGAGTGGACTTCCGAACCAGTTAGAAGGAAGAACCTATGCAGGGTGTTTTTGGCAGTTTCATTTCTTGTCTCGTCCACTGTCAAATCGCATGACACCACGGACCTCTATCATATTCCGTCGTTCAATATATCTTTAATAGGACAAGAAGAGAAGGGAAATCTATTCATGAGTGATGGGCTACGCAACCAGTTTCATGTGAACATTGTACCACTAGAACATTAACATTAGAACACCAGAAATATATTTATTTTCCGAAGAGATTCTAGTGTAGAAATCAATTTTGAGCGATTTATGGGCTTGTGGTGGCCATCACGCTTGCTGTTGATTGGGGTATGCTCCAGTTGTTTGAGTGACAGCAATTTTCGGTCTCCTCCGTCTCCAGCCTTAAATGGACATTATCTCGTCGAGTCAACTTTGAAATGAAGACAAATAAGCAAAAAAATGCTTTCATCTCAGATGGCAGAAAAAATAGGTGTTTGGAACGCAAAATTGCTTGATGCATAGGAAATCTAGGCTGCTATGGCAATTGAACATGGCACTTCCGCAGGGCGACTCGCGGAAGTGCCATAACCAACTGCTAGCGACTTAAGCCCTGTTTGAATTGAAATTGAACAGAAACAGAATTGATCGCATACACAAGAAAACGCACAGATGAAATAAAATCAAAGTCTTCCTCCGAGATTTAGATAGGGATCGATTGGGAATTTGGGGAGCGGGTAAGCGGAGCGTCCGGAACAGGCGAATTCCAGTTGAGTTTGATAGGTATTGATTGTGGGAATCGGACGATAGGGAAATCGCAAGAGCGAAGGGTAGCGAACTCTTCACGTATATAGTATCGTTTCGTCGATCCTCTCTTTTCATGGTTCTCCTGCATGTTTCCGCTTAAAGCAACAATCCCAGGACGAATTTACGAGGTAAAAACCGTTGATAATGTAGTTATAGCCGACAATTTGACCGACAGTAAAAAACCAAAGAAAAACGCCGAATAGGGCTTTAAACAGGAACTCACTCCCTGCCGCTTAGCGATGAGAGAAGACGCGTGCTGGACGAGTTGTCCGAACCTAACTTAGCTAACTTAGATCAGAATCAAGCAATTGTGAAATTGTCATATCAGCGACTCACGCACACGACGTATTCACTAGCTCATTCACTAACAGTTCGATCACCCCTCAAACTACTGCAATTCGACCCTTCCATTTAGCTGGGGAAGCCTTGATTCCGCTAATAACTGACTGACTTGGTGGCCATTACAACAGATTACAACATTACATAACACCACATAACATAACAACATTAGAACAACAAAAAAAAAGAAGCAATTCCACTGCAACCGGCAGGATCAGATTGATTACTTTAAAGGACAGAGTTCAAATACCCCCTGTGGTCCCAAAACGAGCACGAATGCCTCCGTAGCCAATCACGGCTGGCAAGTGGGCGGTCCCGAAGAAATTTCCAACCACACCCATCTTTGAGGAGTTTAACGCCCTTTTTGGCTTTTCCCAGGTGAGTTTTCTTTATAACTTCACTTCAGATGTTCTCCAATAGGGCCTGTGCATCCTTTAGTGCCATTAGTATTGAAAGAAGCAGACCCTGCTGGGACTGTTGCTTTAAGCGAACTTTCCATGCAGGATGTGAGCGATCAAATTAGGAAAGGAATACAGCAATGAAGAAAATTATCGCGCTCA